ACTTAACATTGTCCAATGAACCATGAAAATGAGGTCAAGGTCAGATGAACCATGCCAGACAGACATGTACACCTTACAATCAATTTAGGCATTAAATATAGTTGACCTATTGCTTATAGTATCTAAGAAACAAACTTAACCATGAAAACTTAACATTGCCCAATGAACCATGAAAATGAGGTCAAGGTCAGATGATACCTGCCAGACAGACATTAACACCTTACAATCCTTCCATACATCAAATATAGTTGATCTATTGCTTATAGTTGAAGAAAAACAGACCAAAACACAAAAACTTAACACTGAGAAGTGAACTGTGAAAATGAGGTCAAAGTCAAATAAAACCTGTGAGACTGACATGTACATCATAAAATATTTCCATACACCATTTATAGTTGACCCGCCGCCAGATCACTATCCATATGTCGAGCTTTCTGCAACAAAAGTCGCAGGCTCGACAATAACATTAAGGTACACCAATGAACCATGAAAAAAAGGTGAAGGTAAGATGAATCCTGCCAGACAAGACATGTTTGCCTTACAATAATTCCATAAACCAAATAAAGTTGACATATTACATTACCAAAGTACCATGAAAAAGAGTTAAAGGTCAGATGAGCCCTGCAAGAAGGGAATACACATATACACATCATTTCCATACTTCATACAGTTGATCTATTGCTTACAGTATCTGAGAATGGACCCAACCATGAAGACTTATCATTGATAAATGAACCATGAAACTGAGATCAAGGTCAGATGCACCCTACGAACATGTCTACCTTACAATCATTCCATATATCACATATAATTGACCTATTGCCTATATATCTGAAACTTAGATCCCTGATCCAAAAAATGAGGTCAAGGTCAGGTAATCCCTACCAGACACACACATGTAAACCATTAGATGATTCTAAATACAAACTAGCAGCTCTAAAGAGCCGGTGTCGTTCATCTAGGTCTATGATCATCTCCAACATTATGGAACTAGAATAAAATTCACAACAAAATTCTTTTTTTTTGTTGATCTTGTATTGCTGATATTTTTTTCTGTCCAGAGTTTCTCTCTATTTTCTTTAGTTTTAGCCCAAAAATATCAATTAAGGCAATTACACCTCTTAAGAGTAAACCAACAATTTCAGCAAAATTTGACGTATTTGTAGATCTCGTCTTGCTGATAATTTTTACTATTTAAAGTACTCCTACAAGGAATTAAATTAATGATTTCCGCTACTTGACTTATTTGTAGATCAAGACTTGCTGATCATTTTTGCTTATTATGTTTCTTATCTATCAATAATAGTTTTTCAGATCTTAGGAAAAATGCAAAAAAACCTTGTTACAGGGCAATAACTCTAATTAGGAGTCATCTGATGATTTCGACCATGTCAACTCATTTGTAGATCTTCTTGTTGATCATTCTTTGTATATAAAGTTTCTCTCGATCTATTAGTTTTTCAGATATTAGGCAAACATGAAAAAATCAGTAAAATTCGTCATTTAAGGGCAATATCTCATGTAAGAAGTCGTCTGACAGTTTTGAAGTAAATAGACAATACATAGATCTCATCATTCTGAACATTTTGGCTCCTGTAAGATTTTCTGTATTCATAGCGGTTTTCAAGATAATAGAAAAAACTTGCATTTTACCCCTACGTTCTATTTATAGCCATGTTGGTTAGCAGGCGGTGTCATCGGGCACATTTTTTAAACTAGATACCCTAATGATGATTTTGGCCAAGTTTGGTTAAATTTTAACCAGTAATTTCAAAGGAGAAGATTTTTGTAAAACTTAACAATGACGACGGACACCAAGTGATGAGAAAAGCTCACGTGGCCTTTTAGTCCAGGTGACCTAAAAAAGGATTTTTTTTTTTTATAAATAGTCTCTAAACCATGAAAATACGGTAAAGGACAAGACATATTGCAGGCTGATACTTTGTAACAGAAGTCATTGATATACAAGATATGAAGTATTTAGGTCTACTACCTTCTGGAATATATAAAACTTTATAAAAATAGTGTACACCGTCATTGCCACAAGCAGATTAGCAACCTTGCTTCCTGCAATAGTTGAAGACAAGACAACCTTGTTTAAACCCTCCACATGTGCATATGCCTGCAACAAGTCCAGAACTTTTCAGTATTTGCCATGTTATATCTGTATGTTTTTTTCGTTATTAGTTGACAACTATTTTTGATGAGACGATTTAGAGCTTGACATAATGTAGACACCTAACTCTTACAGAAGAATGAATGTCCTCATTGACATATATCACACATTTTTTTTATCTATTTATGTCTGTCTTATTATCTCTTTATTGATTACATAAAAATAATCATGTAGGAATGTGTACCTGGATTGAATCAGGATTAGAATGTTTAAATCTAGTCTTATATGCAAATATACCTATTTCACATCTTGGATTTGGTTCCGGTTTTGTTACTAGCAAAAAACTTATGGACTAAAAAATAATAAAGATAAAAGTAAAGACTGGCAGTTAGTGATTTTATTGACAAAAACATTGCCACATAACCTCCTCATTTGTACATTATTCTCTACAACAGAACAATGATTACAGCTACAGTCATACAGTGACCAGCACATAGTGGTTATGGCATTCTCTCATCAACTACATGCATGCATGAACTAGCAACCAATGAAAAATGAACACTGCTACTGCAAATTTTTCTGAAAATTCAGTTAATGAAAATGAAAAAATGGAGACTGCTACTGCAAAATTTTTCTAAAAGTTCAGTTAATGAAGTAAATCTTAAAAGTTTCAACATTTAAAATAAATATACTTGATCATTAAAGAATTCCATGTTCAATTTTAGAAAATATTCATTTTGTTGTATTGCATATATAATGATGTAAAATAAATTCTAACATACATTTAATACTGAACTGGTTTAATTACATCATTACAGGTATTTCCTCTAAAAAAAATAGAGTCCATTACAAAACAGACACAGAAACTGACGACCAAAAATTGCAGAGCTGAAAGACCCTTTCCATTAGAAATTCAAAGCATACACAACAGAGAGATGATCAATGCTTGCTTTGAAAGCCAATGAATCAAACAATGGAAAAATGTACGTTTATCAAATACATTCATATTTACAAGAAAATTACTTCCAAACTTTTATCACACTCAAAAATCACATATAAACAGTTGTCAAAAAAAAATGCTTAAATTTTAAGTACTACTAAAACATTTTGCAGAGAAAATTCATGCTTTAAACAAAATTCTTATATTAAAAGGAATTTTCAGACAAAAATTCAACCTACATAATATTTGCATTTCAAATAAACATGTTAACACAGGACTGGACTAATTTGTGTGTAAACTTGCAGGTGTGACTAAACTCAGACTAGATATATAATTTTTACAAAAAAAATCAGATATTTTTTAAGTCTACGCTTGTTCAGTTTTTAAGCCTTTTAAGTGTGTCCTATGAAAACAAAAGAAGAAAACAAGTACTGAATACTATCTCTTATTCTAGATGTTTTTTTCTGGTTTTAAAATAAATATAAAATCTGATGATTCTTACCAATTTTTTGCTGCTTTCTTTTAAAAAAATTTCAAACTTGCATGTAACTTCACAAAGTATATGTGTGGAGAAAAAGAAAGCTATAATTTTTCACATCTAGATTTAAACACAAGCACAACAAAATTTCAGACACATATGTTTCTACTTCTTAACTATATATCACTGATAATAGTTTTGTTAATGTCTAAAAAAAATTCTTAATAAAATATAATCTTTTACCAAATAAATCTGTTTAAGTTCCAGATAGGGAAAATATAATATATCCATCAACCATGTATTTGGCATAATATTGAACATGAAATGCTTTGCTCTCAAGGTTTTTTCTTCTTGGAAACAATGAATAAACATTTGAACCACTTTCATGTTTTACGCACATCTCATATTGTCACAATGTGTTTTTATCATTCAATCAAATATTCATGGTTAAGGGTAAAAGGTTGTTCTTTATTCTCTGATATCCGCATGGCTCTTGGTTGCAGGATAACTTTTTAGACAAATTTTGAATATACTATAAATATTGCAGAAGTTTAATTGTACACCGGTATTCATATAGTAAAGGTCACTTGCAGGATCAACTATATATATTATATTTACACAAGTTACCTCTTAAACTGAATGTTTAAACAGAGAATACTTTAAGCGTTTATCATGTACAAATTCAATGATTGCAGTAGGAGCTGCTGAAATTTAAGTTCCTAGGCTATTAAAACAGGATGTTAACCATTACCCTAACCATCAAGGTAGGCTCCGTTTAATTCAAAAATATTTGTACTTTCATATAAATCGTTACAGCATTTCCAATTTAAAGGAGAGTAGAAATATACAACTTATATCAAAGAATTTGGCATTCATCTAAAATGATGACTTCGCATGTTCTTTGCAGTTTCCTGAGATTATATAAGGATTTTTTTATAAATGTTTTACACTTGTTTTGTGCAAGTTGAGTTTTACAAATGTATTTCCATTAGTATTACACAAAATCAAATAAACAACACCTTGGAATTTTTCTCTAATCTTCCTTCTATTACACAACTCTTCTTAAAGACAGGGAAAAGCACTTACAAGCTTGCAATAAATTAATTAAATATTATAAACCATAATTCCAAAACACCATCTCAAATTACACAGATATTTAAAATTTCCTAAATGGCAATGACACTACATTATTTTTTTTCAATCTGTCTAAAAAAGAAACAAAATAGGTACATTTGTTTTTCAATGCCCATTGACAAGACTAAAGGATTAATAAGTCATTGATGAAAAAAATGGTTGTATGACTAGTATATTTTTGTTTGGTCTGTTCATACATTATCTGTATCCACGTATCAATAAATTTGTTCACAGAAAAGGTACAATTAATACTATCATGACATGTGTATGACAAATTCAATCAAAAATTCTTTTCGTTTATTCACTACAAATTCAGTGTTGCCTCCATTATCTTTTCTTTTTTTCTCTTTCAATCAATGACAATGACTTCTTCCCAGCAGAACACCCATCACCTTGGACTTTTTTACTCAATCATACACATTTTACAATAAGGTCACAAATTTCATCTGTGTGAGGTTCCATTGAAGTAATCAGGAATTTTAAACTCTCGTCGTATATAAAACAGTATGTAAGCTTTACATCTAGCTACTGTCTGTTCTTCACACATTGTTACCGTACTGTCGTTGAAATTAAACCACTGACCTAAAAATATAAATGGCAAGGAATTGGACTAAAAAGACAAATATCTTGTATGTCTATCATTTGGAAACTTGGAAAGCAGTTTGTGTTTCTACTTGAATAGGAATTAATGTGTCATTACAGTGTGCTAAATAGAATACATTCTAATAGAAAATACAAGATAGTCATTGATATATCAATATCCCAGCCACTAGTTTTTTAAAAAATAAAATGTTTACAAAATGTTTACACAGAGATATGTCTCACCTATCGGCATAAAATTCAGAAAAAGACAATCTGATGGACAACAACATTGCTTTTTTATTCATTCATTGGACCATGATCTAGTAGGCAGGGCCTGAAAATGGTCGACAAACTGAGATGTATTGTTTATTGTAAGTATTTCCTATCAATATAGCTTGAGCATAAAAACTTAACATTGAAAATTGCTAATTAATTCAGTCACTGGACCATGTCCTAGGGGCAGGGCCTCAAAATAGTCGTCAAACTGATATGTACTGATAGTAATGTGACTTTATACAAAATATCATTGATCTATCACAAGTAGATCCCTTCAAACTAACTTAACCAGAAAACTTAACATTAAAAATTGCTAAATTTAGTAATTCAAAGTCACTTGACCATGTCCTAGGGGGCATGGCCTCAAAATAGTTGTCAAACTGATATGTACAGATAGTAATGCAACTTCATACAAAATATCATTGATCTATCACAAGAAGATCCTATCAAACTAACTTGAGCAGAAAACTTAACAATTGTTGACACTGGAGCCGTCGCCAGAAAAGCAATCCCTATGTCTCGCTTTCTGCAACAAAATTTCGCAACTTTTGTTGCAGGCAAGACAAAAAAGTCTTTTCATTTGTCTTTGTATTTGAACTCTATTTTCCTTAAAAAAAAAACCTATCATGATAATAAAGAAAAGTAATACCAATCAAACATCTTTTTATGAATAGGAAAACTGAATTGGCCCAATAAGGGCTATTCCAGAAAAAAAATGTATGGACGGTTGGATGGCACTTGGATTATTTTGAATGGGTGGGGGCATGTCACGAAGTTCAAACTGTGTGGTTATGTTTGCAAAGTAAAATGCAATTGTATGGGTGATGGCCATAAAAATAAGTGCATTCAAACCCTGTATTGTTTTTTATGGAATAGCCCTAATTATCAAGTTGTGGAATTTTATTCTTTTTGTAGATGAAACAATATGAAAATTTATGCTCTATATATATATCACCAATTCTATTATATATTTATTAGTAATGCTTTTGAATAATATGTTATTACTATCTTCAAATAGTATTTCCAAGATATTATCTAAGATTTCAATATTTACCATCATGCTGTGCATATGCTGTATAGTGACCAGATCCAGCCCTAAAATGACAAATAATAACATATGTGCAGGCTACCTGAATCTGATTACTTTTTCTAGTTGTTATTCTATATATAATCTGGTACTTTATATGCTATTTTGAAGAGTATTTACTGGTAAATTCAATTGTTTTTGTATTGACTAAATAGGTACTAACACTTGAGAATTTGGTCTTCTTATGAAAACTGATTCTTTTCTTTTCTGTGTGGCCTTATCAGGTGTCAACTCATATAAAAAAAAATTTGTTCTTCAGAAAGGAAAGTGAATTTTGATTTAATTAAGTGATAGAATAAGGTAATCTAACTTACCCAGAACCATGATGAACAATTGCTGCTGCTAAATCATATTCATTGGCTGCTCCCTTTCCACTTCCTCTTGTCTCATGCTGAAATGAAAGGAAAATACAAGAACGTAAAAAGATGTTCAAATCAATCTTATTATAAAATGTTTGTTTTAAAGTCAGCAATATAAGATTTCATCATGATTATTTCATATCCATTATTTTTCTCCATAGTTTTATTAAGTCATCATGAAAACCCCAAAAACATTTCTTCACACAACTATAAACCCATAGCAATGTAAATCTTAATAGTTTGTTATGACTACATTTGTATCTTTTGTATTATAGATAGGCTAAATTGATATCTAACATTAATGGGGTGTTTGTTGGCTTTAATTAATTTTCAAATGTAAAATTCTGTCATTTTCCAGTTGAAAAGTTTCCTTAATTGATTGAATGTTAGTGTTAAATGTCACTTTCAGCACAAAAGGTTATATAGTGGCAATCAGTTTTTTCTTTTTTTTTGGTGGATGGAAGCCGGAATGCCCAGAAAGAACAAAGACTTTCAGCAGGACAATCCTAGTCAATTAAGATGGGAATCAAGCACACCTGCCCCTTGAGCTGTTCACTCACAACCTCAGAGTTGATAGGCTAGTGATATAGTAGATGAACTACTTAGCCCACTGGCCCAAGGAGGCCCCAAATTACCTTGACCCATATAATGAAAATAATGGCAGAATATTCTAATACTTACTAGATTGTTTAGTACATATTTGTTCATGTTTAAATCTTTCAGCGGGAACTCCACAAATGTATCAAGTTTAACCCTGAAATAGGACTGCCATCGGAATCTTTTGATATGGAGACATAATACCTGAAAAGAAATTTTGTATAGTCAAGTAAATAGAAAAGCATTACTTAAAAAATAAACTTATTTTCCAAAGTAACTACTCTTTACATGCAAATCCACATGTTTTATGAGGCTACATTAGCTGTCATTTCACATATTAATCGGGTGTGGATCAACGATTTGATGTTAGGGGCACGCCTGAGAATTAGAATTAGGAATTAAGAGGACCTTATTTTGACACAAAATTTGCTGCAATTTTACTTTTAATACATCTTTTTTTTTTTTATTTGCCCCCCTCCCCTGAATCGGTACGTGTTAGTGATATGTCTAAAATGCCAAATGAGCTTGTTGACAAATTCAATATTTTTGTCTGGCTTGATGACAATGGTAAAATAGATCTCAGTCCTATCATTTGATATCACAGTAAATATCAGATGAGTAAGGATGTCGGCTGTTTATTCATCATTGATCTCTTTACCCAATGTCATTCCTTGTGTGACAAAATGATAAACTGCTGCTTCACCATTCAAGATGAACAATATTTTATAAGTTCAATGGCAGCAATTCTGTTTAAAATTAAGTCAACAACAAAGAAAAAAGAACATCTTTCATTGCCGTAGCACTTACCAAAATGTTATGGAATAAAGGAAAAATGGACTAAGATAAAACTGTATGCCAATGTGGCAGGGGTATCATAATTCCACAATTCTAAACAGAATCAGGTTGGTGGTCTTTCAGGTATTAACTTACCAATAAACTTCACTTCTTAGAAGGTATAAACATTTGCATAATGAATAGTAATGCTGGAATGCTATTATAAGTTATATGGTTCGCTACTGACCCCCTACAGATCCATAGGGGGTTAGTAAAATCCATAGGGGATGAGGCCGAAGGCCGAATCTCCTATGTATTTTACTCAGCCTCTATGGTCCGTAGGGGGTCCGTAGTGAACCGTATAACCAATTTATCGCACACAGGACTTTTCATGCAGCGTTTTGTAGAAAAAGAAACAAATGAAAAACAACAAAATCAATAGATGACGTCACCATGAACGGTAGACGTGACGTCATGAACCCCCTATGAATTTACCAACCCCCTACGGATCCATAGGGGGTCACCACATGACGGCTTTAAACCAATCACGTCATAATTTACCCGCGGTGCGATAATACTTGCTAGTAATCGAATTTAATAGATAACTTTTGAGATAAGCCATACCAGATAATTAGCCTAGAAGTTATATCCATACAATAATGTTAGTGCAGTTTCAAAAAGGTTACACATTTGCTTCCAATCATGTTCATGCCAAATGATAACAGATCTCAGTCCTATCAATAAATATCATTGTTATTCAGATGATTAAATATGTCTGCAGTTTGTTAACATCATAGATCTGTTTGATTACAATTTTCAGCAATTTCAACAACTGAGAACTGAACCAAATGGGCTGTCAATCACATTTACACATACTATCCCAGCTGCAGGTATACATGTAAATAACAATATCATACTGAAGAGATATATCCCAGCTTATCATGTAATTTGATTGATTACCTTGTCAAGGGATATAGTACCATATACCTTGGGATCAAAAAGAAGATATAAGTAGGAAAGGTAATTAGCATCAAAATCAGGACTCTCCAGTATAATATAATTGATATACTGGCTTCACAAGGGATATAGACAGATTCCCTGTGATGAGCATGAATAACATATAATATATATATATCAAATAGACTCCTGAACAGATCTCAGTCCTATCATTTGATATCACAGTTTATCAGATGAGTAAGGATGTCGGCTGATAACTTCATCACTGATCTGTTTACTCCTAGGAAACATCATTCATTATTTGATTAATGTTTATATGCTATTTTGATTATCGCCATATCAAATCTCAATTACAAAGTACTAAATGTCCTTGAAAGAGAATTGGCATTGAGGAACAGCTGTGGGTTGGACAAACCAAAGACTGACACATGACACCAACTCCTATCACACAAACAAACAAGCTTTCTGAAATGAACTTCAGTGTCGTTACATTAAGTTGTTGTCCATGTTTTATTTTTAAATTGGACAATCTGTACTTTAAGATGATGAAATGGAATAAAGTGAAACAGATCTCAGTCCTATCATTTTATATCACAGATAATCAGACAAAAAATATGTCGGCTGTTTATTTCATCACCGATCTGTTTACTTTTATGTACATCTTTTACTCAAGTTCTTCCAAATGAGATTCTTTCGTAATAATATTATTATTTTTATTTTGTTTACATTTCTTCATTCATGCAGGACTTAGTAATTTACACAGAACTATATCAAGGTTCTTCTGAAATTAAGTTGACAAAATTGTGTTTATCAAACTAATAATGTGTCAGAATGAATATTCAATGACTACCAATTAATAACTAATGCTGGATCTCAGTCCTATCAATAAATATCATAGTTATTCAGATGATTAAATATGTCTGCAGTTTGTTAACATCATAGATCCAGCAGAGTTACATCAAGTTCATATTGTTTCATGAATTATCATAAGCTTTCATAGTCTGACATGATTAGTCCATGTTTGGTAGAAGACACAAAATTCTGACATGAACTTTAGTGTGTTGTAATCCATTCAGAAAGCTGTTTTCCATGTTGTTTTTTTTTTTATGTCAAACTGCAGTCTCTACTTTTAGATGATGAAATCAAATGAATCATGAAGTAAAACAGATCTCAGTCCTATCATTTTTTATCACTGTTTATCAGACAAAAATATGTCGGCAGTGTATTTCATCACTGATCTGTTTACTTTTTTTTACTGTATTTCAGTGAACAATTTTCTTTAAGAGATTTTGGTCCTTTTTGTATAATTTACTACTTTACTTTTGTTTATTTTTCTACATGTCATTATGAAATTTTAAAGAGAATTATGCTAGGTTTTTTTTTCTTGAATTTACGCAACAGAATTGTGCATGTTTAATCAAACTGATACTGTAAAAATTTGAGTGCATTTATTATTACAAATGTTGAACAATCTACAAAAATGCAAAACAAAATGTTTTGATTTCAGAAAATGCTGCATACAATTAAGATATAAAATTTTTAAATTCAAGATTTTATTTTTGCAACACCTATTCAAAAGATACAGTATTCTATCAGAATGAAGATTAAATGACTACCAATTAATAACTAATGCTAGATCTCAGTCCTATCAATAAATATCATAGTTATTCAGATGATTAAATATGTCTGCAGTTTGTTAACATCATAGATCTGGCAACAATAAAAAAAAAAAAAATATTTGTAAATATATATTTCTAACAGTTTTGATCTTTTATCTAAGAATAATTCCTTCATGTCATGCAAGCCCTATGCTCATTTTAACATGGGAAGGCATTATATTTGTCGATATTTTACACTGAGCATTAGCATTTTTTAAAAAAATTCCTAACATAAACTTCAGTATTGTTGTAATTGTAAAATTAATTTGTTTTCATGTTTTTTTTCCTTCATATCTAGACATTCTGCACTTAAAGATGATGAAATGGTATGAAATAAAACAGATCTCAGTCCTATCATTTTATATCACAGTTAATCAGACAAAAAAGATGTCGGCGGTTTATTTAATCACTGATCTGTTTACTTATTTCACTGGTAATATTTTTTATTCAATACAAATTTTATTTTTTTTTATTTTTCTCAGCACAATAACATGGTAATTCGGATTTAGACCTTTATAACATTCAGCTTGTTGATGAAATGGAACGAATCACGATTTAAACAGATCTCAGTCCTATCATTTTACATCACAGTTAATCAGACAAAAATATGTCGGCTGTTTATTTCATCACTGATCTGTTTACTGTCTTTTAACTTTACATTTAACTCAACAATTTTCTGAATGTAAAATTTTGGTTCTCTTGTATAATACTACGAATTTTCTTTCGTTTATTTTTCTACTTGTTAAATAATGTACAAAAATGAAAGACAAATTTTTACGAATTCAGGGAATGTCCTATTCAAATAAGATACTATTAAAAAGATTTTAAATTCAAGATTTTACTTTTGCAACACCTGTCCCATCAGAATTTTCGCAATAATAAAACCATCACAAAAACTTCAGAAATATACAGTATTCTATCAGAATGAAAATTAAATTACTACCCATCAATGACTAATGCTAGATCTCAGTCCTATCAATAAATATCATAGTTATTCAGATGATTAAATATGTCTGCAGTTGGTTAACATCATAGATCAAGCAACATTTCTCAGTAATTAAATAACTATATAGAACATATTTTCAAATATGAATATGAATTTTGATCTTTAATTTGTTTATACAAATAGTTTTCTTCATCAACTTCATTTAAACTCTGTTTACATACATAGAAAAGATATGTACCATACAGCAAAAATAAGCTAGATTTAATTAAAAAAGATCAACATTAAGAATTGACCTGCTTTAAGCTGTGCTCTTTTGAAGAACAGCCTTCAGCACCAAACAAGATTGGAAAATTCTCAACTTGTTTGGTCTTTGGTTGGTATAAAAAAAATTCCTGACATAAACCTCAGTGTTGATGCAATCTTTATACGTTGCAATTTGTAAATTCAGCTGTGTCACAAACCACGCCTCCTTTGGGAGATATATAATATTCATAGATATTTTGTTTTGTTTTACGTATTGGTTCCCAGATATGATCTCTATGTTGCATTTCACCGAGACACAACTTGGGAATGTTACCAGTATAAATGCTCATGGATGGCGGCAAAATTGAAATTCTGAAGAAGACCCAAAGTGAAGGGAGGGGTAGTACAGAATTTTAGTATATGTTTAAACTCTTGGAAGTTCGGGGCAAATAAATGTTGAAAATACACCGCACAGCCCAATGTTTTGACTTTTGAAAGAGATTGTAGTGCATATGAACATTTCATTCTAGGATATAATTTTTTACGAAACTTCATAGTAAAAGTGGCACAGTTTTAGCCGTCGAAGGACTCATATGGGAAACTGCATTGTCAATATTTACAGAATTGCAACCTTTAGATACATTAAGATCTTGTCCATGTTTATTAAATCAGACAATCTAAACTTTTATAAGATGATGAAATTGATTTATGAAGTAAAACAGATCTCAGTCCTATCATTTAATATCACAGTTAATCAAACAAAAATATGTCGGCTGTTTGATTCATCACTGATCTGTTTACTTTCTGGTTCTCTTCGTATAATACGACTTATTTTCTTTGGTTTATTGCTACATGAAATTCATTCAAGACTAAACACTAGTTACCTAGACAGGGATTGACTTCTGTACATCATTTACTTTTCAAATATAACAAAGTAAACAAAATAACAACTGAAGAGGAAATTATTGAATTTGTAAAACAGATCTAAGTCCTATCATTTTATATCACAGACAATCAGACAAAAAAGATGTCGGCTGTTCGATTCATCACTGATCCATTTACTCTTTTCAGTATTTCACTTTTTACAAGATTTTCTTATCAAGATATTCTGGTTCTCTTCGTATAATACTACTATTTTTTTTATACATATCATTCATGCAAAAGTAAACAATGAATATAAAAAGTTAATTTTTCAAACAGTTCAATCAATTTTTTTTAATATTTCTGTAATGAAGTTTTAACTCCATTGAGTTAAGTACTAGAATGCTGAAGCAAATATGTCCTATTACTGACTAGTTGCCTAGAAAGGGATAAATTTCTGTACATTATGTACTTTTTTAAACAGATCTCAGTCCTATCATTTTATATCACAGTTAATCAGACAAAAAATATGTCGGCTGTTTGATTCATCACTAATCTGTTTACTTTTATTAACTGTATTTCACTTTACAATTTTCCTTATAAGAAGTTTATAAGATACTGAAGCAAATATGTCCTATTCATGACTAGTTCCCTTCACGGGATGGATTATGACAATTACTGTTCAATATTAACATCTCAGTAAACAAAGTAAATACAAAAGCATCTAAAGCTGAATTTTATGAAAATACTTAATGGTGAATTAATAACGTCACCTGAAAAGCGATAGCTATGTCTTGCCTTCCACGACAAAAATATTCTGTCAGAATAGAGACTAAATATGCACCCTTAATAACTAAAGCTAGATCTCAGTCCTATCAATAAATATCATAGTTATTCAGATGATTAAATATGTCTGCAGTTTGTTAACATCATAGATCCAACAAAATTTTTCAGTGATCATAGAAATTATTTAAAAAAATTTTATGAATTGTTCTCATGAAATAACTTTATTGATCTTATTTATTAAATTACTATTTATAAATGTCTACCATACAGAGAAAATAAGCAGGAGCTGCAAAACAACCTTCAGCCTCATAAAGATTGTAAAATTTTCAAGTGTAAGAATTTTCTCTAGTCATTATTAAAGGTGAAAACAATCAAAATGCACAATATGGTAGTTGTTGCCAGACAACATAAACTAGGCTCCCTCTTCATCATTAAATGGCAAAAATGACTGAGTTCCACATGTAATAAATAATTAAATCTGTCCAAAATCAGAGGTCCATTACAATCTCTGTGCAAAGTTAGAATAGAGTTAAAAGAAAATATAAACCCTAGGTTAAAGGGTGGAATGAATGTTTAAATGAAACAGATCTCAGTCCTATCATTTTATATCACAGTTAATCAGACAAAAAAGATGTCGGCTGTTTATTTCATCACTGATCTGTTTACTTTTTTATACATTATTTAAAAATTTTCATAATGAGTGATTCTTTTCTTCAAAATACCCAATTTCTGTATGGAAATTTATGAATCTAATGAAACAGGGTAAATAGGCTATGTTTATAAATAAATCAACTTACTTAGGACAATAAATACTGATATGATTTTTTAATTCAATCATATTCAAATACATTCTATCATAATGCATATATTCTACATATGAGCTTAACTTTTCTGAGAAGCTTAAGTATTTTGAAGAGAACAATATTTAAGATCTTCTTAAACATGTTAAATAAAGTCAATATAAACGTGCTAGAGTCAGAATGAAGATTAAATGACGACCCATCAATAATGAATGCCAGATCTCAGTCCTATCAATAAATATCATTGTTATTCAGATGATTAAATATGTCTGCAGTTTGTTAACATCATAAATCCATTTAAACAAATTATAAAAAAAGTACCATAAAGAGACAATAATCAAGATTAACAAGTGAATCTGTGAGCTACTGCTCACTAATGATACCCCCGCCCCGCTAAAAGTATAAGGTAAAAAGGAAGTTGTTGAGTGATGAATCTGAAAGTGCATCACACGGTATAGCTGACTTATATAAATCCTGAAACCAAATTTCAGAAATCCTTGTATTGTAGTTCCTGAGAAAAATGTGACGAAAATTTTCAACTTGGCTATCATGTGTAAAATGATACAAGTGTTCGGTAAACAGGAAGTTGTTGAGTGATGAATCTGAAAACGCATCACATGGTATAGCCGACTCTTATAAACCCTGAAACCAAATTTCAGAAATCCTTGTTATGTAGTTCCTGAGAAAGATGCAACAAAATATATTCATGGGACGGAAGGACTGACTGACGGACGGTCAAACAGAGGTAAAACAGTATACCCCCACTATTTTAAAACAGCCTTCGGAATAATATAAATTGGAAAATTCTTAAGTTAATTGTCACAGATGCAACCTGTCAAAATCCTTAAATATGGTAGATGACACAATCAAGGTACCCACTATAGCATTCAATGACAAAAATTACTGAGTTCCAGCATGGGAAAGCAGAGAAATAATTAAAATCAGTCCAAAATCTGAAAACAGGAGGTTCATATTTTCAATATGATTGCCATATTGCAACCACAGAGCAAAGTATGAAAGTTTTAAAGGAATACTGATGGAATTACAGACTTCATCTTCCTTAAAAAAAAGTTTACATTGTTTACTTATCATAGTCTTTACCGGGTATTAGTAAAGACTTGTTTGGTCAATGATTGGTTTTAAAAATTTTCCTGACCTGAACTTTAAGTGTTGTTGTAATTGTTACATTAAGCAGTTATATCAGATAATCTGTACTTTAAGATGAGAAATTGAATAAAGTAAAACAGATCTCAGTCCTATCATTTTATATCACAGTTAATCAGACAAAAAAGATGTCGGCTGTTTATTTCATCACTGATCTGTTTACTTTTTTAACTGTATCTTACTTAAATGTTTATTTAATCAAAGTATTCCTTTTTTTCTTTCCTTAATAACAGGGTTATCACTTTTAGACCTTTATATAATTCTTTTGGTGTCTTTTTTTTTAATTTTGTAGTTTAACACCAAACAATTCTACAGTTGTATTGAAGCCAAGCCAACAGTGATGGACACGTGGGAAACGTTTCCGAAATAAATCTTCAGGTTATTTTATCGAACCTTTGAAATGAACACTGGTGTAACAGTACCCACACAGAAGTACAATTTTAAAGGAAACAGCAAACAATATGTTTTCAATTCTCTTCGTTTGGAAAAAAATGAATGAAACATAAAAGTAAAACAGATCTCAGTCCTATCATTTTATATCACAGTTAATCAGACAAAAAAGATGTCGGCTGTTTATTTCATCACTGATCTGTTTACTTTTATTACTGTATTTCAAGGATAACATTTCTTATTTAATAAAAATATTACTCTTTATTTTTCAATGCACAATAACACGGTAATTCCGTTTTAGACCTTTATATAATTCTTTTGGTGCCGCTCTCTAATTATTGAGTTAAACACTTAATCTAGTTCTACAGTTGAATTGAAGTTCAATCATGAGTGACGGAGAGGAAATTTCTCTAGAAAGTGATGCTCAACATATATAAAGTTGAGTAGTACCAAGAGCTTGTAACCACTTTTCTCCAGAGGACACTCTTTCCCTATTTTCAACGAAAGTGGATGCAGCCTTATCACAACAATACTCATGATGTGATGCAAAACAAAATTCAAAGGCCAGACATCATATTCAAATAAAACTTATGGGCAGATCCTTGAATTTTACAGGGGAAAAGATTAAGCCGTTGTTAATGGTTTTTTTAGATCAGAAAATCTGAAGTTGAAGATGACGAAATGGCAGAATAATGAAGTAAAACAGATCTCAGTCCTATCATTCTATATCACAGTTACTCAAACAAAAAAGATGTCGGCTGTTTATTTCATCACTGATCTGTTTACTTTTTTTTTATGCATTTCACTTAGCAATTTTCTTAGTGGTTTTTTTTTTTTTTAGATAGTACTTAATTTCTATATTGAAGCTTTTTGTTATCAAATCTGACATTTACAGATATGTTCAATCATGAATCAATCTTACTGTAGTTTTTTTCTGGGCAGTCTATTTAAATATTATAAAGAGAAAATATGCATCCACTGTTATCTATAAATAAAATAGGCAGAAATAGGTTGTACTTTTTTGTATGAGAAACCCTATAATTTATTTAGATTATAAATTTAAATAAATGGTGCAGAACTTCACGTCCTTTGGAAAAATCTCTGCTAGTTCGGTTAACTGTTGTAACAACTTGTAGAATTTTCTTACATTTGGCAACCTGCGAATCCAGAATTTCTTGGTGGAACGTTGCTTCTTTTTACAATTACTACACATATACAGTTCAGAAGCTTCTAATTCTTCTAACTCTGTAAAACTTGAAAGACAATCTGAAAAAGAAGACAAATACATGTTTGCTTTTTTACAGATAATGCTACTTAATCAAACCATTTATTGAAGACAATAAACAGCTATTTAGAGATTATGTACATTACATTAATTTTGTTGACAGAATTTTCAAATTAACTCCCAAATCAATATTGTGAACAGAAGTACTTTGAATTAGTATTATTTGTGGAGTACCAATACTGCTGGAGTTAGAGGGGTAGGTAAAACCACGGATTCAAAATTTCAAAAAAATATATTTTTTTTTAATGCTTGTATGCAATATGTCAAAACCAAATTCAAGTATCCCCGAAAACACAATGTTTCCTCAATCCACAAAAATAATACAACCAATCAAAAGTAAACCTGATTGCACCATTTTTTTTAATTTGGATGTAATTAATAGGATGCTCTCAAGTCATATCTTACTTAGGACTTGACACATACTTAGTAATGTCATAAGTATTTAAATGAACCGTTAATTTTTAAAACTTCTGAAGTTTTAGGATTGTAATATATTTTCCTAGGTCCTACTGTTTTATTGTGTACCTTCTAGGCGACATACTGGATCACCTTCTTTAATTTTTGATGATCTGGTACTGAACTGAGGTGGAATATCTAGTGAAAGATCTGTAAAATAAAAACAAAACACATCAATTATCCAAATGTAGTCATTTGAATCATGTTTATCAATTATCTCGAGGTATGAGGTACCAAGTACAGGCACTTTTCAAAATAAAGGTATACACCTAAGTAACTAATAACAATAAAGGATTTGTATTTCAACTACACTACAGTTGAGTTTGGCATGCACACCTTGTCATGCAAAGTATACCCCACTCTTAATTCAAGGTATCAGAAAGCAGGAAGGTGTTTTGTATTTATATTGACTTAATTATTACTCTGTCGAGAAAGTGTATACTATATACGGTATGTACTATCAACGACAAAAACTTTTATTTTTTACGTCATTGTCAAACTTCGGACACATGAAATTTATAACGTGTTGTTTTCATTTTTTACTTTTTTACTATGTACTACACTTGTTGGCGTCTTTGTTAGATTAATTTGTATGTTTGCTTGAATTTTTTAGTCAGTTCTGTCGTACGTCTGGGATGTTAGTTTACAGTTTTGACTGTTGGATCCAATTATTGTCACATTAACCTATTATGTCTGAGTTGCTCACCCAATTTTGTCAACATAACAGAACTATAAACAACTGTCATACAAGTGGGAGGTTTAGCTACATGTAGTTCGAAAAATGCCTGTATCAAATCAGGAATATGAGTTGTTTTTCACTTATTCCATTGGTTAATAGCGTTTGATTTTGTCAATTTTTATGGACTTCCCCCCTTTTTGAATTTGCCTTGGAGTTCAGTATTTTTGTTATACTTTTTTTCTGACAGATCCAACTATACAACTCATCACTGTCAAACTGCTGACCAAAAAAGTTGTTCTGTTCAGTGGTTCTTGAGAAATGTGTGACAAAAATATTTGTTGGCAATATTGCCACCACTATAAGAGTTGGGGTATAAAAACAAAGGGAATACTCTAGGTGTCTGGAGTTAGAAATACTAACCTAGAAATGGGTCATGTTTCTTTGATTCCATTCGACACTCCAAACACGTAACTTCATTCTGAAGTAAACCACCAAAAATGGCAGTTACAATTGTACTTTTTCCTTTCGGACCTATAAACGGACTATTATTATTGGGATAAGGTAACAATGAAAGAAGTTCTGTGTGTAATCTATCTAACAAATATCTCATGAATTCATGGGCGTCTTGTTGCTGATAACCTCTGAAATGAATAAAATATTCCGTCAGTTGAAAGACTATCATACATACATACAAACTGGTTACTTAACATAGAACATCAAAAATAATATTAAGAACCTGTTTGATTAGAGTTAATTTTTAATTAGAACTCTGTGGAATGAGAAAGACAGCAATCCCCAAATATATCATCAGAACCTATATTTTATTTATCATAATTTATTTCAACAAATGAAGAATTAAAAGCAATTAGTTTTAGTGCTAATGTACAGCAGTTTACTTGTAACTTGAATAATATATAAATAAACTGTTCACAAAGAAATACATGTATGTTTCACCTGTGTAACATGTAAACTATTCCAAATTTTCACTGTCAATGGAACATGACTGAGAGTTGGAGTCAAATATCTCCATGTTCCCATGGTAATTGAACTGCCGACCAAATATCATTGACTTACAATAAGTGGTTCCCCTTAAACTGACCTAATATCAAACTTGAACAGTTGACAGCACCAAGGGTGAAAACAGCATTCCTAAACCTCTCTGTAACTTCATCAAGATGATACACAAATGAAACTGAATATGTCTATTCTGTAAATATTATGGGTTTTTTGGAAGGATTTAGAAAAAATGCACTTTCAGTCAGCAGTTTCAAATGCCATTGAGAGAAAATAATAAAAAAAAAAAAAAAATTAAAATCAATATCTTGGGAGAAAACAATTTACTACCTGTGTATTCAACTCTTATTACAGCTTAAAGTTATTAATACATTAATCTGTATTTTTCTTCCAATAAATGTATATAAACACAATGTATCACAAACCCATGTTTTGGCTAACCTACCTAAATCTAGGTACTACTTTCCAAATAACACAGAAAAGAGATTCAGGTGAAATGGCTCCTTTTGTTCCCTGCCATAATGCTATCAATGTTTTTCTTACTTCCTCTATTAACAATCTACAAAATAAGAGTAGAAAATATTATATTCATTGAACAAAGATTATGTCTAAATCCTGTAAAGAGGCAAAATGAGTTTATAATGGGATTTAAAAATAACAATTTGGAATTTAAAAATCTGTTTTATAACAGGATGCTATGTGAAATTCGAGTGTCAAAACTTGCTCTTATTTCTATTTATAAATTCGTTACAATCCAACAGTTTCCACCCAAGTATTGTTTTCAAGTCAGACAGAAGTGCACAGCTCATACTCCAACTCTTGTTGGGTCTAAATCACTATGAAAAATACAATATTCACCAGAGAAGCAATTTTAACACTTAAATTTACATTAATGAAGTCATAACAGATATCTTTAACATACAGTTTCAAATTGACTTCCCTGGAAACCAAATTCCATATGTAAACTAGTGTTCCTCAATGAAAAATGAAGAACCAAAACTTCCTTCATAAGTCTTAAACACCACAAATACAATGTTAACTGAACACCAATCAATATAATCTTACATATCCTCTTCTGTTTTAGAGGCCTTTCTAGTTATGTGTTTCTTTTTTGTTGACTTTTCTTCTAAAGATGGCAGTTGCTTGATATACCCACAGAACTGCTGAATGTTACTAAAAAAATAAACAAAGGGAATGCAATGAAATCTTTATATTCTTATTCACAAAAATTTCATACACAGTCAAATTTGATAAATGTATTTATATAAGCCTATGATATTATGAAGTATTTTCATAAAAAACATCAAAATACCAATCAAATACTGTTTGCTGGAAAACAATTAATTAGCATCAATTAGCAGTTAAGCAGCAATTACAATAATACAAAACAAGAATGTGTCCATAGTACACGGATGCCCCACTATTATTTTCTATGTTCAGTGGACCATGAAATTGGGGTCAAAACTCTAATTTGGCATTAAAATTAGAAAGATCATATCATAGGGAACATGTGTACTAAGTTTCAAGATGATAGGACTTCGACTTCATCAAAAACTACCTTGACCAAAAACTTTAACCTGAAGCGGGACAGATGGACGGACAGACTAACGGACGAACGAATGGACGCACAGACCAGAAAACATAATGCGGGCCATTATTGCCCCTACTACTATCGTAGGTGGGGCATCAAAACAACAATTCTTATATATAGTAATATAAATCCTATTTTTGCAGCAACAAAAAGTGTAGTTCAAAAATGTTATCTATCAGTAAGAAACAAAGGCAGTTGTTTACATCAATTTATAACACAACACATTAAATAGTGTTTTGTTTTGCTTTAGATAGACAATTTGAAAAACTCATGAATTTTTTGATATAATTTCTTCTTCAACATAGTTTTATTCTTGCTACATGGTTATATCAACTGAATTTGTAGCATCTTAAGCTTATATTTATTTCATGGTCCATCTCATATTGAACTTATTTTTCTGATTTTTTACTTTAAAAGTGAAGTTGTAATGAATCCATTGTAAGTATATCAACCATAACAAATAAAATATAATCTCTACCTAAGTGACTGTAATACTGCATTCATGAAACATGTGTTTCCAAGGTTACGTAGACCAGATGATCTGGGCCGAGATATTCTATCTTCCTGTAATTAGAAAACACAACTTTTAAATTACAGAATTGGAATTTTTTTAAATCAAAACAAGGCATAATTGTATTTTTGATAAAGCTGTTATCCTAATGCTAAAAACAAGGCATAATTGCATTTTTGATTAAAGCTGTTATGCTTATGCTAGCAAGTTAAAGGTTTGGTTAACTTGCTTGCTTTGTTTGTATAAATGTTTGCTCAAGCATTGTAACTAAGATTGACATCTGCTATTAATAGATAAGTGGGGTTTCAGCTTGTATACATTATACTTTTGTTATTGGAAGTTAAGCAATGTGTACAAGTTGAAGCCCCGCCTATCTATTGATTGCAGATGTCAATCTTAATTACAATGCTTGAGCAAACATTTATACAAACAAAGCAAGCAAGCCAACTTTACCTTTAACTTGCTAGCATTAGGATAACAGCTTTAAAAATAATTTTTTGTGAGTGTTGTAAATTTGTTTTACCTTTTTTAATCTTTTCCTTTTTGGATCATTCTCTTGTGTTTCTGTTGAATTTCTTCGCTTACTGTGTGGGACATTTTCTTGCGATTCTGTTGAATTTCTTCTACTTTTTGGTCGTAATGTTAACTGTGTGCGATTCTGTGAACTATTAAAAGATACATGAAAAAAATTACATGATTTAATGAAATACCTGTAACACATTATCATTACATATAACAAATGTAACTCATACAACTGAAATTATGTGCTGAACAGCAAGAAGCAAGAACTTTTTTCCAAGGAAATATTTATTTGCATCGAGTAACAAAATTTATAGTAGGTAACTTAAGTCATGAGAGTTATCCAGTTTCAGTCAACATTATGGGAAATTTTTTCACTATGCAAATTTGCTCTAGTCAGTTTTGGTTGACAAGCTAGGCACATTTCTGAAATACTGAAGCTTGAAAAAAAATTTTTAATCTCTGACCCAACCTTCAGATCATTATAAGCTTTTATGAATAATTTTTTTCCACTATTTGTTTTTGAAAACTGAGAATACCTAAAGCCCTTATTCCTTAAACATTGTTATGTACTATTCATTTTATCATTTTAGATTTTTTCAAATGCTTGATACATGGCCTTTGTCAAATTTACTAATCAATTGAAATTTGAGTATACATCAGGGAATAGTTTATGCAACATGCAAAGAAATAGAGAAGATGTATCATGTATACAATAATTTGTATGTATAAGGATGTTTTTAGGTAATTATGCTTAATCTAAATTTTTCAGCTATGATTGATTGATTGTTGGTGTTTTAACGCCACTTTTAAGCGCCATATTTGGGCTATTTCGTGGCGGACAGTTTTTATTGGTGGAGGAAGCCAGAGAGCCCGGAGAAAACCACCGACCTTCGAAAGGAAAACTGACAATCCTAGTCAATTAAGATTGGAGTCTAGTGCATATAGGTGGCAAATCTAAATTCATTAAAAGGACAATAAAAGGACACATCTTAAAATTTACCTCTGTAAATTAAGATGGAAGTGCAGAGAAATAATCTATATTTGTATAGATTTACATGAATGTGAAGATAAATGTATTTAACAGATCATATTCTTTTTGTTACTTACTTATTATTTTCGGAATTCTCATCACAATGTTCATGCTTTGGACATGTGTCAACTCTGAAAAAAAAACCACACTTAAATTACCAACCCAGTGAAAAAATATGTTTAAAGCAATATACATATATGTATGACCGTACTGTGACCTATAATGGTTTACTTTTATAAATTTTGACTTGGATGGAGAGTTGTCTCATTGGCACTCGTACCACATCTTCTTATATCTATGTATGTCTGACCTGTGATTCATAAATCTTATCACAATCTTTTAACAATTGTTGACCCCTACGACTCTTGAAAAAGCCTGCCTACTCCCTGCTTCCACAACTTTTGCGTAAATAACTCACAAATTCATATACCGTTCCCCCTTTGGCATAATTTCACTTAAAAGGACATGTAAACTATTAACGGATGATTGATATAAAAGTAGTCAAGTAATGTAATCATTATCTAGTCGTTATTTTTTCCATATATACATTTTAACATAGAACATGAGTTCTTTGGATCCTTCTAACCAACTGGTATAGCTGTACCTCATTAAAAGCTGAATCACATGTCTCCGTAACTTGTCTAGATGGCCCTGTTCTGTATCATTAATGACAAATTCGTCACAGGCATAACTGAAATTTAAAGTAACACATTATACATATAAATTGCTGACACAAAGATATGTCTAGCCTGTCGTCATAAAGTTAAGAAAAAGACAATCTGATGAACAGCAACATTGCTTATTAATTCAAAGTCACTGGAGCATGTTCAAGGGGGCAGGGCCTCAAAATAATCGTCAAACTGATATGTACTGATAGTAATGCGACTTCATACAAAATATCAATGATCTACCACAAGAAGATCCTACCAAACTAACTTGAGCAGAAAACTTTACATTGAAAATAGCTAATGAATTCAATGTCACTGGACCCTGTCCCTTGGACAGGGCCTCAAAATAGTCGTCAAATTGATATGATCTGATAGTAATGCAACTTCATATTAAATATCAATGATATATCACAAGTAGTTTTTATTTAACTAACTTAAGCAGAAAACTTGACAATTGTTGATGCTGTCGTCACTCAAGCTGTTGCCAGCAAAGCAATCACTACGAGTACGTATTGCTTTCCGTGACGAGACAATAAACTGCAGGGTTACAATTCAACTTTAACAAATACACCAACTAAATTTCAGTAAAACAGAACTAGAGGCTCTCAAGAGCCTGTGTCGCTCACCTGTATTTACTGATGCTTTGGAAATCATGTAAAATTAGGTTAAAATCATAATTAATAGTATTAGATATTAGATATTATAATGATATCTAAGATAATAACAAAAAATTGCAAAATTTTTGTAAAATTACTAACTCAGGGGCAGCAATCCAACAACGGGTTGTCGGATTCGTCTGAAAATTTCAGGGCAGATAAATCTAAATCTGATGAACATTTTTGCTACCGGTCAGATTTGCTCTAAATGCTTTAGTTTCAGAGATATAAACCAAAAACTGCATTTTACCCCTATGTTCTATTTGTAACCAAGTCGGCCATAATGGTTAGAAGGCTGGGTCATCGGAAATTTTTTTTAAACTAGATACCTTAATAATGATTATGGCCAAGTATGGTTAAATTTGTCTCAGTAGTTTCAGAGAAGAAGATTTTTATAAAAGATTACAAAAATTTACAAAAAATTGTTAAAAATTGACTATTAAGGGCAATAACTCCTAAAGGGGTCGACTGACAATTTTGGTCATGACAACTTATTTGTAGATCTTACTTTCGTTTATTGCTGTTTACAGTTTATCTCTATCTATAATAATATTCAAGATAATAACCAAAAACTGCAAAATTTCCTTAAAATTACCAATTCAAGGGGCAGCAACCCAACAACAAGTTGTCAGATTTGTCTGAATATTTCAGGGCAGATAGATCTTGACCTGATAATCAGTTTTACCCTATGTCAGATTTACTCTAAATGCTTTGGTTTCAGAGATATAAGCCAAAATCTACATTTTACCCCTATGTTCTATTTTTAGCCATGGTGGCGATCTTTGTTGGTTGGCGGGGTCATCGGACACATTTTTTAAACTAGATACCCTATTGATGATTATGGCCAAGTTTGGTCAAATTTGGCACAGTGGTTTCAGAGGAGAAGATTTTTGTAAAAAGCTAATGACGACGACGGACGCCAAGTGATGAGAAAAGCTCACTTGGCCCTTCGGGCCAGGTGAGCTTAAAATGTACCAGTAACAAAGTTTCATAACAAATAAGAAAAACAACAAAATAAACCTTTTATTACATGATGAAACTAGAGGCTCTAAAGAGCCTGTGTCGCTCACCTTGGTCTATGTGCATATTAAACAAAGGACACAGATGTATTCATGACAAAATTGTGTTTTGGTGATGGTGATGTGTTTGTAGATCTTACTTTACTGAACATTCTTGCTGCTTACAATTATCTCTACCTATAATGAACTTGGCCCAGTAGTTACAGTGGAAAATATTTTGTAATAAAATGCTTCGCTGGGCGCAGCTTGATACGACCGCAGAGGTCGAACCCTGAACAGTTGGGGCAAGTATGGACACAACATTCAAGCTTGATACAGCTCTGAATTTGGATTGTGATTAAATATTTGACACAGCATAGGTTTCTGACACAGAAAGAATGTGGTCTAAGAACTTCAATTTTTTTAATTTATCTATTATGGTCCAATGTCCAAAATCAAAATACATGGTTAGATTCAGTATATCAAAGAACCCCATATATTCAATTTTTGTTGAAATCAAACAAAGTTTAATTTTGGACCCCAACTTGGACAAACTTGAAAACTGGTCCCATAATCAAAAATCTAAACACATGTTTAGATTCAGCATATCAAAGTACCCCAAGAATTCAATTTTTGTTAAAATCAAACTAAGTTTAATTTTGGACTCTTTGGACCTTAATGTAGACCAATTTAAAAAACGGGACCCAAAATTAAAAATCTAAAAACACGGTTAGATTTGGCATATCAAAGAACCCCAATAATTCAATTTTTGATGAAATCAAACAAAGTTTAATTTTGGACCCTTTTGACCTTAATATGAACCAATTTGATAGCAGGCCCACAAAATAAAAATATAAATACATGGTAAGATTCAGCATATCAAAGAACCCCATATATTCAATTTTTGTTGAAATCAAACAAAGTTTAATTTTGGACCCCAATTTGGACCAACTTGAAAACTGGACCAAAAATCTAAAATCTAAATACATGTTTAGATTCAGCATATCAAAGAACCCCATATATTCAATTTTTGTTGAAATCAAACAAAGTTTAATTTTGGACCCCAACTTGGACCAACTTGAAAACTGGTCCCATAATCAAAAATCTAAACACATGTTTAGATTCAGCATATCAAAGAACCCCAAAAATTCAATTTTTGTTAAAATCAAACTAAGTTTAATTTTGGACCCTTTGGACCTTAATGTAGACCAATTAAAAAAACGGGACCCAAAATTAAAAATCTAAATACACGGTTAGATTTGCCATATCAAAGAACCCCAATAATTAAATTTTTGATGAAATCAAACAAAGTTTAATTTTGGACCCTTTTGACCTCAATATGAACCAATTTGATAGCGGGCCCACAAATAAAAAATCTAAATACATGGTAAGATTCAGCATATCAAAGAACCCCATATATTCAATTTTTGTTGAAATCAAACAAAGTTTAATTTTGGACCCCAATTTGGACCAACTTGAAAACTGGGCCAAAAATCTAAAATCTAAATACATGTTTAGATTCAGCATATCAAAGAACCCCATATATTCAATTTTTGTTGAAATCAAACAAAGTTTAATTTTGGACCCCAACTTGGACCAACTTGAAAACTGGGCCCATAATCAAAAATCTAAACACATGTTTAGATTCAGCATATCAAAGAACCCCAAGAATTCAATTTTTGTTAAAATCAAACTAAGTTTAATTTTGGACCCTTTGGACCTTAATGTAGACCAATTTAAAAACGGGACCCAAAATTAAAAATCTAAATACACGGTTAGATTTGGCATATCAAAGAACCCGAATAATTCAATTTTTGATGAAATCAAACAAAGTTTAATTTTGGACCCTTTTGACCTCAATATGAACCAATTTGATAGCGGGTCCACAAATAAAAAATCTAAATACATGGTTAGATTCAGCATATCAAAGAACCCCAAGAATTCAATTTTTGATGAAATCAAACAAAGTTTAATTTTGGACCCTTTTGACCTCAATGTGGACAAAGTTGATAACGGGGCCCAAAAATCAAAAATCTAAATACATGGTTAGATTCAGCATATCAAAGAACCCCATATATTCAATTTTTGTTGAAATCAAACAAAGTTTAATTTTGGACCCCGATTTGGACCAACTTGAAAACTGGGCCCATAATCAAAAATCGAAATACATGTTTAGATTCAGCATATCAAAGTACCCTAAAAATTCAATTTTTGTTAAAATCAAACTAAGTTTAATTTTGGACCCTTTTGACCTTAATGTAGACCAATTTGAAAACGGAACCAAAAATTAAGAATCTAAATACACGGTTAGATTCGGCATATCAAAGAACCCCAATAATTCAATTTTTGATGAAATCAAACAAAGTTAAATTTTGGACCCTTTGGACCTCAATGTGGACCAATTTAAAAACGGGGCCCAAAATCCAAAAACTTAATACACGGTTAGATTCAGCATATTAAAGAACCCCAAGAATTCAAGAATAAAACCCCATTGAAATTGATCAAGAAATAAGCAATTTATACGAAGTATCTTCTTTTGCACAATACTGTGCAATTGAATATTTCTTGCTATTGTGCAATACTGTACAATTGACAATTTCTTGCTATTGCGCAATATTGTGCTATTGGATATTTCTTGCTATTGCGCAATACTGTGCAATTGAAGATTTCCTGCTATTGCGCAATACTGTGCAATTGAAGATTTCTTGCTATTGTGCAATACTGTGCAATTGAAAATTTCTTGCTATTGCACAATACTTATTATATAATAATTTACACATCCTGTTTGGTGTGTATCTCCTACCATATCATTATTATTTGCTTTTAAATATTAATCAGAAATAACCAACTTAAAATGGAAAATTTTAAAAGAAAAAAAAAAGGAAAAAAAGAAAAAAAAAAATCCCCCCCCCAAAATTTTTTGAACCCCCTTATGATTCATCACCCCCAAACTCAATCCCAGCCTTCCCTTTGTGGTATGGTACCTTGCAGTACAATTTCAGAGAGATCCATACACTTGAACACAAGTTATTGTCTGGAAACTAGAAAAATGCTTATTTTTGGCCCCTTTTTGGCCCCCAATTCCTAAACGTTTCGGGCAATTACCCCCAAACTCAATTCCAGCTTTCCCTTTGTGATATGGAACCTTGTAGTACAATTTCAGAAATATCCAAACACTTACACACAAGTTATTGTCATGAAACTAGAAAAATGCTTGTTTTTTGCCCCTTTTTTGGCCCCTAATTCCTAAAATTTTGAGGCAATTACCCCCAAAATCAATAACAGCCTTCCCTTTGTGATATGGAACCTTGTGGTACAATGTCAGAGAGATCCATACACTTACACACAAGTTATTGTCTGGAAGTTACAAAAATGCTTATTTTTGGCCCCTTTTTGGCCCCTAATTCCTTAACTGTTGGTACCATAACCCCCAAAATCAATCCCCACCTTCCTTTCGTGGTATTGAACCTTATGGTAAAATTTCATGGAGATCCATTCACTTAAACTAAAGTTAGAGTGCGAAAACCAATGTGTCTTCGGACGACGCCGGACGACGCCAGACGACGACGACGACGACGCCAACGTCATACCAATATACGACCAAAAAATTTTCAATTTTTGCGGTCGTATAAAAACGGGACCCAAATTAAAAATCTAAAAACACGGTTAGATTTGGCATATCAAAGAACCCCAATAATTCAATTTTCGATGAAATCAAACAAAGTTTAATTTTGGACCCTCTTGACCTCAATATGAACCAATTTGATAGCGGGGCCTACAAATTAAAAATCTAAATACATGGTTAGATTCAGCATATCAAAGAACCTCATATATTCAATTTTTGTTGAAATCAAACAAAGTTTAATTTTGGACCCCAATTTGGACCAACTTGAAAACTGGGCCCATAATCAAAAATCTAAATACATGTTTAGATTCAGCATATCAAAGAACCCCATATATTCAATTTTTGTTGAAATCAAACAAAGTTTAAATACTGGACCCTATCTTGGACCAACTTGAAAACTGGGCCCATAATCAAAAATCTAAACACATGTTTAGATTCAGCAAATCAAAGAACCCCAAGAATTTAATTTTTGTCAAAATCAAACTAAGTTTAATTTTGGACCCTTTGGACCTCAATGTAGACCAATTTAAAAAACAGAACCCAAAATTAAAAACCTAAATACACGGTTAGATTTGGAATATCAAAGAACCCCAATAATTCAATTTTAGATGAAATCAAACAAAGTTTAATTTTGGACCCTTTTGACCTCAATATGAACCAATTAGATAACGGGGTCCACAAATAAAAAATCTAAATACATGGTTAGATTCAGCATATCAAAGAACCCCATATATTCAATTTTTGTTGAAATCAAACAAAGTTTAATTTTGGACCCCAATTTGGACCAACTTGAAAACTGGGCCAAAAATCAAAAATCTAAATACATGTTTAGATTCAGCATATCAAAGAACCTCATACATTCAATTTTTGCTAAAATCAAACAAAGTTTAATTTTGGACCCTTTGGACATTAATGTAGACCAATTTGAAAACTGGACCCAAAATTAAAAATCTAAATACACTGTTAGATTCGGCATAACAAATAAATAAATGTGATCAAAGATTTTACAAATCTAATGCGCCATACTGTGCAATTAAAGATTACTTCTTGAAATTTTTCAATATTTGAAATTTGAAATAAAAATAATATTTGAAGAATAATTCTTTTTAATTTTTTAAATCTGAAATGAGAAAAAATTGGCCCCCACAATTTCTTTTTATCCCCCCCCCCCCCCTTTTTCCCCCAAAAAAATTCTTTCCCTCAAGATATGGTCATAATCTCAATTCAAATTTCCAATGGAGTTGGCAACCATAATTACCCATTTAAATTTACCATAGTGCTAACTTAATCTATTTTATAATAGAATTAATAAAAATATAGTGTCAAATCTTTCATATGGATTTTTTGGTAAAAAAAAAAGATGAAAACATTTGCAGATATTTTTACTGGTCTTCCTTTATAAATATGCATTTCTTTAAACATAATTTAAAAGCAGTGTAAGGGAAGTAACCAAAACATTGTATTTGGATTACCTCCCTTACACTGTTTTAGATTATCTTTATTGTTCATTATCCATTACTTTATACATAATTTAAAAGCAGTGTAAGGGAGATAATTTCAATGATGTATTTGATTTATCTCCCTTACACTGCTTTAAATTATGTTTTGTACTAAAGTATTTGTCCATTAACCAGGACAACCTTGTTTTCCCCCTTTTTTGCCCCTAATTCCTAAACGGTTTGAGCCATAACCCCCAAAGCAAATCCTAACCATCCCTTTGTGGTATGGAAATTTGTAGTATAATTTCAGAGAGATCCATACACCGTTCCACAGTTATTGTCTGGAAACTAGAAAATGCTCATTTTTGGCCCCTTTTTGGCCCCTAATTCCTTAACTGTTGGTACCATAACCCCCAAAATCAATCCCAACCTTCCTTTTGTGGTATTTAACCTTATGGTCAAATTTCAAAAAGATCCATTCACTTAAACTAAAGTTAGAGTGCGAAAACCAATATGTATTCGGACGACGACGCCGGACGACGACGACGACGACAACGACGACGACGACGCCAACGTCATACCAATATACGACCACAAAATTTTTTTGCGGTCGTATAAAAATTTACAAAATTTATGAATATTGTAAAAAATTGACTATAAAGGGCAATAACTCCTTAAGGGGTCAATTGACAATTTTGGTCATGTTGACTTATTTGTAGATCTTACTTTGCTGTACATTATTGCTGTTTACAGTTTATCTCTATCTATAATAATATTCAAGATAATAACCAAAAGCTGCAAAATTTCTTAAAATTACCAATTCAGGGGCAGCAACCCAACAACTTGTTGCCTGATTGGTCTGAAAATTTCAGGGCAGATAGATCTTAACCTAATGAACAATTTTATCCTTGAAAGATTTGCTCTAAATGCTTTGGTTTCAGAGATATGAGCCAAAAACTGCATTTTACCCTATGTACTATTTTTCAGCCATGTCGGCCATCTTGGTTCGCGGCGGGGTCATCGGACACATTTTTTAAACTAGATACCCTAATGATGATTGTGGACTAGTTTGGTTAAATTTGTTTTAGTAGTTTCAGAGGAGAAGATTTTTGTAAAAGATTACAAAAATTTACGAAAAATGGTTAAAAATTGACTATAAAGGGCAATAACTCCTTTAGGGGTCAACTGACCATTTTGGTCAAGTAAACTTATTTGTAGATCTTACTTTGCTGAACATTATTGCTGTTTACAGTTTATCTCTATCTATAATAATATTCAAGATAATAACCAAAAACGGCAAAATTCCTTAAAATTACCAATTCAGGGGCAGCAACCCAACAACGGGTTGTCAGATTCATCTGAAAATTTCGAAGCAGATAGATCTTGACCTGATAAACAATTTTACCCTCTGTCAGATTTGCTTTAAATGCTTTGGTTTCAGAGATATAAGCCAAAATCTACATTTTATCCCTATGTTCTATTTTTAGCCATGGCGGCCATCTTGGTTGATTGGCCGGGTCACCGGACACATTTTTTAAACTAGATACCCCAATGATGATTGTGGCCAAGTTTGGTCAAATTTGGCCTAGTAGTTTCAAAGGAGAAGATTTTTGTAAAAGTTTACGGACGCAGGACGCTGGACGACGGACGCCAAGTGATGAGAAAAGCTCACTTGGCCCTTTGGGCCAGGTGAGCTAAAAAACTATGTATAGCATACAGTTTTAACAGTCTGGAAAGAGCAGGAAATTTTACTGACAATTTTTTTATGTCCATTGTATTTGTTCAATTACACTTATGGACAAAGAAAGATAACTCTTAATTTCAAATATTACTTTAACAATGAAATTATTGATATTTTTAGAACAGATACTAGAATAGATAAATGCACTGTGCACAATTTATGTAATTTTCTTGACAAGTGTGGTTATACATATACTCTCATTTTGCAACTTGAATATCTGAGTATATATTTCATTGCTAAATTTCTTGTAATGTTTATGGATAGAATGTTGTGCTCAATGCACTGGTTTTTTTTATCTTTTATCTCAAAAGTAGTGATTAAGTCAAGCTATTAACATATTGGTTTTTATTGCATTCTTACCCCAGTAAATTAGCATATTTTTACTGTTGAAAACTACATTTCAGGTTCATTATTTAGAATCACTCATGATTTTTTATGTATTAACTTGAAATATTTTAACATCATTTTAAAATTGATTTACAGCAAGAGATGTTTTCATAACTATATATGATAGTTTTAGGAATGTTTTTGTTTTAGTAATTTTGAACATGTTGTGTGTTACAAGTAAGATGAAATACTTACCAGAATACAGCAAAGGATTCACAGTCCATACACACTGAATGGTTGGGATTTTCTTCATTGTGTAACTTTCCATGACCATTAACGTATCTACATGTAAATATATTAATTGAAATGTAATCTTAATATCAAAATCTAATGTCTGTGGTGTACCTTTAAAATCTTAGGACAGAGGGACACTTTTGCATATGGTTATCATATTCATAACAGATTTTTTCAAATTAAATGACAACTATATATGAAAAGGAAAGACCTCATCATCTCTATTCACTGTTCAAGCAAACTTTGTTTTTGTACAGTTCCACAACCAATACTGAGAGGTATTTCGAATTTTCTACGGAAAGTACAATGTACTTGTCAATCTAATTTGCACAGTTTCTTTAATTATATATAAATTTGGTATGAAACTTGTAGGATCATACTTCATTTCGAAAGTTTGCTCACAACTGTTGTAAAGGGAAATATAACTTATATATTTTCAATTGTACTGTTTTGTACACAATATTAGAACGAAAAAAAAAAATCATCTCTATATAAAAGTTTGATGAGCAATTCAAATTTTGCAAAAAAAAAAAAAACCTGAACTTAAAATTGTTAAGTAGAACTGCATAGACTACTCACCGTCCACAGTGTATTTTCCCACAGTTTGTGCAAATCCATGGATTCTTTTCTGTGTTACATACTGCAGTGGGAAAAAAATAATAATTTTCAGTTCAGTTATCAAACATGAAATACAATAAAATTTTGAACATTTTCAAATAGGGAAAATAACAAGGCTTCATTCAATGACATGAATTGATGTCCATACATGTGCATCCACTTCATTTGAACTCTGGTGGATAGTTCACAGGCCTCGACAATAACGCTTGTCCGATTGTCCGGTACCAGAGGAAAAAAAGGTCGGACAAGTAAAAGCTATAATATCAAGCTTGTCCGACGGGACAAGTAAAATTATTCTGCAGAAAATAAATTTAATCCAACTTTGATGAACAAAGTAATAATAAACAAAAAACAAGAAAAGAAGATAACAATATACGACCACAAAAATTTTTTTGCGGTCGTATAAAAACAAGTATTAATTTGACATGTTTACTTGCAAACCGATAATTTTAAACTGGTTCTTTGTCAGGTACTTTTTAATATGTAAAAGGCATACTATTCTCGAAACCAGTTTTACTGATCCGAATCAGCGATGCAGAAAAGGTAACTTTACAAGACAATTCTTCACCAGCTGGGAAAGATTCCATTCCATTCAGCTCCTAAGTTTAATAGACAGTTTGGCACCGTAGGAGACATATTTAATAGATATGATTAATAGACAGTTTGGCAACGCAGGAGACAATTGGGACCAAGACAAATCAGTACCTGGTTTCCCACCTTATTCTGTTGCTTTATAATAAATACCATACCGGTAATTTTTTTAACAAAAATATTTTTTAAATAAAAATGAGGAAATTATTTACGATAAAATTCACAAAATCATATTTGATCATATGTAGAAAGAAACAATACTTGCAAAACGGTGACCTATTGTTGTTAATTTCTGTGTCATTTGGTCTCTTGCAGAGAGTTGTCTCATTGGCAATCATACATCATCTTCTTTTTTTTATTGATTGCATTTGAATAATCTTTTTTCAACTTAAACAACCAGGATACAAATCCAATGAGTGTACATTGACAGGCCTATCAGATGGTGCCTCATGTGCAGAGTCTGATGAGACTTTGGCATTGATGAAAACTAGAACCTAAGCCCTGTGACATGACTAGATTCAGTTGTTCTTGACTCATATTTTTGAAAAGTATTTCAAAAGATATAAATCAAATTCTGTTCTATTGTTTTAATTCATTTTGTTCCTTGAATCAACTTATAAGGCAAAGAAGGTTATTATTAAGATTTGTTTTGGACAAGTTACAATTTCATTCGGATAAGTAAGTTTTGGGTTGTACTTGTCCTACTGGACAAGTTGAAAAAAAAGTTATTGTAGAGGCCTGTTTCATTATTAGTTGTCTCGTTGGCAATCATACAGGATTCATATTTTTATATCTACAATGTACACAAGTCACAATACAATCCAAAAGTTTTCCATATATGATTATCTCCCTTCATTTCCACATGTGTACATGTATACATGTACAAATGTACATTTTGTTGGTACCCTGCCCCCTGCTCTTTAAAGCCTTTTTTCATAAATTATTGAAATATATGTAAAATAATGTTATCTTCATTTTCTAAACTATAAATTTATATAACATTAATTGTAATGAGTTGAATGTTTGAACTACATGTAAATGACTACAATAAAAAAATCTTTTACAAAATTAACGAGGTGTGCTTAAATCTAATTTAAGGTATAGATTTCATGTTCTTTGTCCCTCTCTGGATTTTCCAGTTGACTGATACATTGGTGCATATGTCTGTGTTTACATTGCCAGACATTATTACAAAGTAACTGTCAGTGATGGGGAACATTTCAAAGATGATAATGGTAACACATTTAAATTTTTCAGATGTTGCACTGGTAAACATAGATCAAGTGTGTCTTGCAAGTTAATCATGGTGGTTATTTTTCCTAATATGTTGATTAATATACTTTCCTTCAGCAGACTTTACTGATTATATCATAGACTAATTCATATTGGTCCACTTGACTTTGTCAAAGAGAAATTGAAACAGGTTTATTCTGATTTTCCAACCTACTACTATTTATTTCAATTTGCAATTTCAACATAAAACCAGTGGTGGATTTTTTTAAGGGCCATAAAGGACATATGCCCCCCTTTCATCTAAAAAAAATAATCTTTCTTTTGGCATTAAATCCCCCCCCCCCCACAAAAAGAAAAATGTTTACCATCATTTGTGACAAATAACCCCCTTCCACAATTATGTAGTTCAAATCCTGCATGACATGCAACAATCTGGAAAGATTTTAAAGCAAAAAAAATAGAGTTTCAAAAGCCGGGAATTTTTTCATGTCTATATATGTATAAAAATAAAATAGAAGATGTGGTATGATTGCCAATGAGACAACTCTCCACAAGAGACCAAATGACACAGAAATTAACCACGAAAGGTCACCGTACTTCCTTCAACAATGAAGTCCATACCGCACAGTCAGCTATAAAAGACCCCGAAATGACAATGTAAAACAATTCAGTACTTGTTACATTTGTATGCCACAACCATGAAATTTCGAGTTATATTCAATGTATTATTATCTTAACATTTTCACCGATAGCACATGCAGTCTTGTATTTTATACAGAAATAAAGTATAATATTGGAGTGTCTAGCAAATGTTGTCAGCCTATCAAAATAACGGATTCTAACGAAACATACATGTAATGTAATTATCAAGAGATTATTTCGTGTTTGTGTTAGAATGGCCTTGTTGTGCCTTTTGCTCTTTGAAATGGCCCCTTATCTTTTGAATGGCCATTGTTTTGATTGCTCACAACTATGTATAGTAACGCTATAAATAAATTCTTTGTTGCATAGCTATGCAAAAAGATGTCGGGTTAAACCAACATTTCAATACCAATGCCTCGACTTTTAAATTCTGAGTAACAAACGATTTAGACTGATTCTGACATTTGGCCATTCAACGACGGCGCGTGACCTAATTTTTCAAGCACATGGTTCTCGACGTTTTCTTAAATTGGAACGGTTCTGGTACAAATAAAATAATGTATTGCTATGAAATGTGATTAGGAAAAGTTGGTATCTTTCTGGGATATGACAAATATCTCACCTGCACAAACAAAATTTGTTTTTGTGTCTGCAATTGTAGGTGGCGCTAATATTTGCACGGCTTCTTCGAGGTGCGGACACTCCATAAAATGCAAAATGTAGATATTTTGATGACACAGTGCTTGAACAAATAGGAAATGCAGTCCTGTATGAAATTCTTTGTACCACTGTAACGGAACTTAGCTTAAAATAATCAACAGCGATTCTTCAGACTGCGTGTCGTGCATATTCCAGTTATATAAATTCATCCGCCTTTCATTATGATTAGGATATTTATGATTGAGCAAATATCGAGCATGTCAATGAAATACATCAATGAATGAACTATAATTATTTATGAAATCATCTTCATTCCGTGTGACAATCAATGTTGATGTTTTTCAATATAAAGTTGTTGGTAACTATATTTTTTGAACGTAGTTATTTGGCCAGATCATGTGATCACTTTTACGCAAGTCTATTAAAGTGTGATTATCCCCCTTTGAACAGGAATACTGATTCAATTTAGGCCATTTAAATGATAAAAAATAGACATGTAGAAAATGTTAGATGACCTATGAATATTGCAAAAGAACCTTCAAAATACAACAAAAAAAGATCTTCCCAAGTCCAAAATGCTTCACATAGATATATCATTCTAAATTAGTTATAATTACAAAATGTGAAAGGGGTGCCCGGGGGCTGTAACAAGATAATTTAAAGGGTGACAAACTTACAAAGTTTATACATATGGATATTTGTATTACTTTCATTTTCTAGAATCTTTGATGGTGCATGTACAAATATTCCTGTGAAGTTGCAGTTAATCTGACCATTCCTTTATACATCACTGATTTGTTCTGGTTCATTGTTCATTTAACATGTACATTGTGACAACCATATGACTTATCCTCAGAATAACTGACATTTCGAGGCAGAATTACTGGGGCTGGGGGGCTCGGGTTTCCTTAATGAGCTACATACAATGCGCGCGTAGCTACGTTTACATCAAAACGCCCGGGCGTACACATAAATTTTGAAGAAAAAAAATATTTGAACCCAAATAAATTATAAGAACTTATTAAAAGCACACGAGCCTTGTATTTAAAAAAAAAACAATAGAACGACAACATTAAAATGGAGACTTGCTTTTTGACTATCTCTATATAAAGAGTGCATTTCTTTCTAACCAAAATTTTGTAAACGTTGTGTGGCGTTTGTTATCGTTTGCTAAACGCTACAAAAGAAGAAACAAATGCATCGTTTAATCCGTGTTTTTTTACCCTGTTTTGAACTTTCAATAATGCATGCACGTGTTGTTGGTAAACAGATGTATCCCCATAAGTGAAATCAAATTCGAACCATTCTAAAATATTACAAGAAAGGTAAAATATAGGGGATACTTGATGAGGATAGGCCTAGGTCTACATGACCATAACCGAAACACCTCTTTGTAATACTGGTAATAAAAACACATACCAGATATGAATTTCTATTCTTAAAATACACACATAAGTCTCATACTACAAGCATGCAAGTATGAATTATGAAAAATGTATTCCACAAGACATAAAAATATGTATCATTCACAGAGTTATACCAGCTCTAAATTACTCTAAATATATGCACATAGAAAATGGATGAATTACGAAGGATTATAATAAGATATACTGGATTGGTCCTGGACCCGATTTATTTTTAATATATTAAAGGTTGAAGTTAGAAACAATTGTAGCGTTTGTACTAACAAACGACAAACGACAAACTGCAGACGCATTTTTAGCGAGTGCATAGTTTGTCAAAGTTTATGTAAACTTTGCAAACGTATGTTTGAAACAAATGATCAAAACATGTGCGCGCTTAGTCGTTTGCATCGTTTGTGCTAGAAAGAAATGCACTCAAAGTTTTGATTTTTTGTCGATTGATTGATTACCCTGGCCACATCTCCTTTTAAACCAATCTAATTAAAATATATATCTCTGATTTCGTTATACTCATAAGATATGAGCATGCGAGTAAATATAGATATAAATTTTAGATTGCTTCTAAACATATTTTTAAGCAACTGTTTTGGGCAATTTTTCTCTTAAATAATTACCATTATATTCCAGATCAATACAATGAATAAATTTAACTGTAAAAAACAAATTAGACTCTAAAAGAGACGCGAAAGGGATATTCAAACTCATCAGTTGAAAACAAACTGACAATACCATGGCAAAAAACGAAAAACTACGAAAAGGCAAACAACAATCCCTTATTTCCATTCTCAATTTTAACAGTATACAAAACACAACATTGAAACATAAGACTTGACAACACGGACCCCACCAAAACCTGGGGGTGATCTCAGGTGCTTCGGAAGGGTAAGCAAATTCTACTCCACGTGTGCAAACCCAGTGATTTATTCTAATTCGGTAGGTAACATTAGAGGAAAAGAGGACGGGATTGTGGTTATATCAACAATTGGAACATATCCGTCGTCATTAACCTACTCGTTATGTCGAAGCATATTGGACACTTGGAACTCTTGGTTCAATAGCTTCCTTGTAAGCATCCACTATCTATCAAGGAAAAAGTTAAATCACAAAATTACTGAACTCCGAGGAAAATTCAAAACGGAAAGTCCCTAATCAAATGGCAAAATCAAAAGCACAAACACATCAAACGAATGGACAACAACTGTCATATTCCTGACTTGGTACAGGCATTTTCTTATGTAGAAAATGGTTGATTAAACCTGGTTTTATAGCGCTAAACCTCTCACTTGTACGACAGTCGCATCAAATTCCATTATATTGACAACGATGCGTGAACAAAATGTCACAAATAGGGGTACAACAACAACACAAACCCCACCAAAAACTGGGGTTGATTTCAGGTGCTCCAGAAGGTCCTGCTCCACACGTGGCACCCGTCGTGTTCATGTTATTAAAAAGCGGGTAAATAGTCTAATTCGGTAGGTCACATTCGTGAAAAGGGAACGGGATTGTAGTTACGACATAAGGAACATATCCGATATCATCTGTATAACGGATATTCCATAACGGTCAACTAACTCGTGATTGCGTTCGTAAAATTTACGAAGTGATGATTTCAACTTCACCACTTGAAATGATGATAGGAAATGCAAGCTCTGGAATATCTTATCAACTGGCATGTATATACTCCATATGCAGGTGCTGCTGGAATGTTGCTACAAAGAAAAGAAAAGTTTACAATTGGAGGCTGAAATCATCTCCTTTGTCGTAAAGTTTTGTTATTAACCGACCAAGTATGTTGCTATTGATGAGTTTTTAATGACAGATATTGGTATCTTTTTCTCAATAACGCGTGAACATCCTTGGGGTTTCGCCCGCAACCAGGAGGTCTTCTGTTCTGGACCTCAAACCCCTCGATGAGGTTCGGGCGTACACTTAAAAATGGCCTAGCTACGCCACCGATTCCAAAGTTTGTTGTGGTTGTGTTTTTTTCTAGAAGATAGTATTTTTATCTATTAGATAAAAAACACAATAGATAAAAACACAAACTATTTTCTCGATAATATACAGGAACAGGAGATAATTATATATAAGGATTTCATTTTTCCGGCTTTATTAAGTACTGCTTTTCAAGACGAAACAATTTTATTTTTGCGCTTTCCTCCTGGAAAGTGTTTTTTTCCTCAATTAAGAAACTAAGAATTAAATAATTTATTAAAAAAAAAAGAAAATGCATTCACCAAACAATAAGTGAATGGTCTGTGCCTAAATCTCTTTTGCTAGCTAGGAGATTCCAGCCAACAATATCATAGTGGGGCTTTGGTTTATTGTTTCCGATGTTGATTATGTGGGGTGTCATGTTTTTGGACTTTGTCTTAAAAAGGGGGGTCGTTATATGTGTTTTTTTTTTAATTGAAGGGGGTTACCAACACAATTGACTTGTATCAAAATTTAACCGACCTCCTCAGCTATGAATATTAACTGTTCCCTTTCGAAACACTATTTCCTTTGATACTTGTTGTCAATAACGATGTTCTGTCTATAAATTAAGCGTACAGAAAAAGAACACCTGCTTATAATTTGCTTGGCAACAACAATCTTTATTATCATAAACCATGAGTTACAACGGTAATAGAGATATACGTCTGCTCTATGGTCGGGTTGTTGTCTCTTTGACACATTCCTCATTTCCATTCTCAATTTTATACATATAGCGATGAAAACAAACTTATTTATAATAACATCATACACACAAACATACACACAAGCATACACCAATTATCAGTAAATACCCACATACACATATCTCATTATGTACAATATATACTAAATGGGGGTTATGTTATTGCCTAGAGAACAAATGTTTTATTTATTTTACGATTATTTAAATTTTTTAAATCTACACAGTTTTTCTGATTTAAACTTGTTTGTAAAGCTCATTATTTCTTTGAATTTCAAAATATTTGGTCTTTGCCACACATTTTCATCTATTAGGTTTTCCTGTTAATTTCAAATTTTTTACATTCTAGAATATAATGATATTCATCACCAATACAATTATTATTACATTTCAAACACATTCTATTTTCTCTTTCTATACCATTCCACCGTCCTGTTTCTATTGCATGGTAGTCTATGATTTGTGGTTCTGAACTTACAAATTGTAAAGATATCTTTATCTTCCAATATATTTAAAAGTTTTCAAACTCAAATGTTACTTTAAATAATCTATAATTTATAGATATTGGTGAATTTAACATAAGTGAATGCCATTCCTGTCTTAATTGATCATGTTGGCGCATCTTTATCGAATAAATAAGCCAATCTGAGCTAGGAAAAATCTGATCTGTCCAAATGTAGGAATAACCAGTATCATCAAACACTTTTCTTATGAACTTTAACCATGGCGATTCAAAATGATTGTCGACCGACAATTTGTATAATAATTGATACGCTAAATAAGATAGTTTTGAATCCTTTCCAGTTAAAAGTCGTGTCCAATATGCAATAATTTTTAGTTTGATGTCTAGCTGAACAGGAAAAATGCTAAGTTCACCATAAATCATATAGTTTGGGGTGGATGATTTCAACTAAAGTAACAATTTACAAAAACGTAATTGTACCCTTTCGATGCATTGTATATTTTTACAAAATCCCCATACATCTGAGCCATACAAAAGAATTGGCTTTACCATTTTAATAAACAGTTGTACTTGACATTCGATTGATAAATTATGAATGCGACCTCTTTTTTAAACCTCATACATTGCTTTTGTTGCCTTCTCTGCTTGCTTTTTTATTGCTT